AAATTTCAACCAAGTAGTTATTTCGAAATTTCTTGTTTAAATATTAAATTAATGTGTTTAACTTTTAAATAAATTGAAACTATGAATTGCGATAGTTTTAATTGCAATTTATGCAATGATATATTCTAGGTTTTATCTCCAATTATCTGATAGATTTTGCAACTCTTTTGATGAAACTGTAAGTGGGTGATATTTGTCAACAATAAATATTTTAATAATTTAATTAGCAACATTAAGATGTTAAAATTTAACTAAAAATATGACTTTATCGAAGTTAAAATTAGCTAAAATCGAGCAATTCTCATTAAAACATTGCCAAAAATTGAAGAAATAATTGATTTATTGATTTCTGAATTTGTTTTATATTTTTCAGGAAAATATAAAAATGGAATATTATCTTTCTAATAACAAAACATAATTAAATGGTTAATTTATAGGCGTTAATGTCATCAAAAAAAAAGCAAACAATGACATCAGTGTCACAAAATCAAGCCTGGTATTCAATTATCGGTTATTTGTATGTTAAAACAAATGGTAGAGGTATGATAATTTTATTAAATTTTATTATATGTTAGTCAATATTTTGCTTGACATTTTAGCATGATCCTTATTTGCTTAGTAATTTAATAATAATGCATATTAATAACTCTTAATGTTTCCTTTCCTTTTTTTTTTCTTACTTTATTAAAAAGTATTAATTTTGGCAGAAATACCTCTAAATTCACAAAATTTAACACAAATTTAATGCAATAAATTTTGTATATCATTTTTAGATTAAAATATTAGCAAACTTTTTTTAAATTTCTACTGCATTATTGAATTTAATAACTCTTAATTATTGAATTAAATTATTAATTATTGAATTAGTATTATTAAAAACAATTTTAAATGCAAGTATTTAAATTTTCTTCCCTTTTAAATTAATTTTAATAATACTTTAATAATTTATCACAATTAAAAATAATCATTTAAATGTTTCCATTTGAACAAATTAAAAAATTTTTAAATTAAAAATTTATAAATTTAAAAAAAAATTTTTTAGCATTTAATTTTTAGCATTTTCGTTGTTAAAATCACGAAAACGAATGTTTTTCGCATTAGATGAATGCAAAAATTTGTTAACTTCATATAAAGAGGAAATGGATTTCCTGAAAAAGAAAAAACCATTGGAGAAAATTTCATTGGAAAATGCCGCCTGTACATTGGTTGAAAATTCTGAAACAGAATTCGTCATCCAGTATGTTTCAATTTTTCCTTAATTTTTATTTTTTGAAAAAAAAAAAAAACAAGAAATTTCTTTTACTCTTAGAACTCTCAGAGCTTTTTACTCTTAAATTATATACAATGAATAAGAGGGAGAGAGAGAGAGAGAGAGAAGAAAAAAAAAGACCTAGCATTTATTTGGTTCTTTTTTTTTTTCATACACTTTTGTAAATTAAAAAAGGAATTTTTTTATTTTTACATATTTAAAGCATAAATACTTTGTCATCGCATTTTTTAAGAGTAAAACTTTTTTTTTTTTTTTATTTAAAGAAAGAGAGTAAGAGAGAGAGAGAGAAAGGGGAAAAAAGTGAGAAAGAGAAAGAGCGAAAAGAAAGATATTTTGAAAATGAAATTATTTATGCTTTATGAATTACATATGCAATGTTTTCAAAAAATTTTTAATGCTTCACTGAAATTTCAAAGTTTAATTTATATCTAAAAAAAAAAAACCATTTAAATATCATTTTTAAAAATCGTTTCAAAAAATTTGTATCGTTTAGAATAAAATATGTGTAAATTTAAAAAATAAAAAAAAAGAAAGAAAACTATTTTATGATTGTTAAAATAATCGTATTTTAACAATAATTTCAAATTGTAATTTTTTAAACTTTTTTTTTGTCCAAAATTTAAAATAATAATCAAAATTGAATTTTTATTTGCCAAAAATAAACATAAATAATTTGATATATATAACGTTGAAAATAATCTTCGAATATTTTTATCATCTTTAATTAGTTTAAATTATTTAACCGAAATTTTGCAAGTATTTCTCGGAAGATAAATACTTTCAATTTAAATTAAATTATTTGCTAAAATGAAACATTGCTCCATTTTTAATAAATATTATAGATTTAACATATTTCAATGTTGAGTAAATATATTATAGATTATGGATTATAGGTATATTACAGGTTTTATTTTTTTTTGTTTGATTTAATACCAACAAAAAACTCAAATCAAATAATAACTTACTTCGATTTCAAAGGATTTTTAAACACGTAAATAATTTTACGATAACATTAAATGATAGTTTGTTATTAGTGTAAAGTATAAATTTGTTGAAAAATAATTGACGCATTTTTTTTTTTTTTTT